CTTTCCCGACACAGTTCATGGGGGTGGGAGGTGGAAGGTTTAGACAGACCCTCTTATAATGCAGCCCAATGTCTCAGCTATTTAGCTGAACTGAGAGGTCTTCTGGCACTGAGATCAGTCTATCCTTCGTAGAGATTTATAAAACCATAGAGACATAGGTATTAGTTGGGAGATTTTAAGAGGCAACATGGCTCCATCATACCTTCATTGAGTCTACAAGTGACATCGGCCAGCCCCTGATCAGCCTCAAGGGTTCGTAACTTTGCCTTTGTTAAGGAACTTGTCTGGCCTATAAAACCAGTGAGTGATGAAGTTAGGATTCTAAACCGAACTTGGGATTCTAACTCCTTTTGATACTCAACAGAGCTCTTACCAGCATAATGAAAGTGCACACAGAAGAGATTCCCAAAAGCTGTCTTTCTCTCATTCATTCATTCATTCATCATAACAAGTGCTCCCTGATTACCTGCCGAGTGCCAGGCATTGTGCTTGGTGCTGGAGAGATAGCTGTGAACCATCCAGTGTGCCTAAGAGCTAAGAGCTGTTTTTTCTGCAGGCCACACATGCAAGGGTACTTTTCAGAAAATCCCCTGGACATCTCAAGTCCCTAAACATTTCTAGATTCTTGAATCATAATTCCTGTTGCCTCCCAACTTGGCTGGAGTAGATTTTCTCATCCATTTTGTAACCTCAAAATAAGCCAGCTGCTCCTCATGGCCCCAGCTGCTTCTGAAGGGCACAACCTACAAAGAAGCCTTCTTTTCAGTGAAGCCTCTGGATTAGGCTGAGGGAGCCTCATAGACACTTTTCCAGCTTGGTCCAGTTCCAAGAAATATCTTTGTTCTCTGGCACTAAAGGCATGTGCAGATTGGAGTCCAAGATGAGACACCCAGACACCAAGAGGAAGCACCCTAACAAGCAGGGAAACTCCAGCTCTATCAGGAAGAGAACCCACTGATTACAGAGGAGGCTTCAGCATATGGGAAGGGGACAAGCCTGCAGATGGCAGATGGGGGACAGGCACCAAGCAGCCAGCAGGCCTTTATCCATCTGTCATGGGAACCTCACACCTTCTCCTGTTCACAGATCTCAAAGCCCAAAGGCCACAAGGATGGCTGGAACAAGCAAACAGCAGGCTCCCCCCGCTGTCTCCATCTTTTATGGAAAGAAGAGTGTTGTTATTAAGGAGCATTCTAGGTGTCAGGGGTTCTAATGACAGTGAACTTAATATATGACATAGAGGATATTGCTGAGTTCCATAGACTAACAGAAAAACTGATGGGAGTTCAAAGGTGGGTGATGTTGATTCATTCATTCATTGAATAGATTTTTTTAATTTAAATTTATTTATTTACGTTCATTCACTGTACATCATTACAGCATACAAAATGAGACTTTCCATCCAGAGTACACTGTATATTGTCCCAATCAAGCACATCAACATACATGTTATTGTCAACAAATAATTTTCCATTTCTTGTTTACTGTATGTTTTGCTTTTTTTCCCCCCATCCTTGATTCCCTATCTCTTACCCTCTGCCATTGAATAGATATTTATGGAGAACCCACCACACCAAGGCACTGTGCTAGGCTCTAGATACCTACGATCGTGTGTGAGTGGTTGGCAAGAAAAGCAGTGGCCTGAAGGACTTTCACATCATGAACCATTAATATACATTTAATCTAGAGAAGAAGGGGGAGCAAGACTGCTGTCCTCAAATACTTTAAGTATTTTTATGAGAGAGAGATGAGATTTCTCCAGAAGTGCTAAAGGACAGAGTAGCGAGCCATGGGCAGAAGTTATGAATTTGGTTCGGTTTAAGAACTTTCTTATAATGATATCTGTTTCATGGTGGCAAGAGTTGCCTTCGGATGAGTTGTCCATGAATGGAAATGTGCAAGGAATGGGTGACAACCAGGCCTTCCCAACCCATCTAACTCTAAGAATCCTCTAACTCTAACTCCTGAGGAGGACAAGGACACAGAAGCAGGCATCCCCAAGGGAAGAGGAGATTTAGAAGATCTGATCCTGAGGTAAGGAGATAGGAAGTTCCACTACTAGCCTATGTAAAACTCCTGGGAGGTTCTTTGGAGGGCCCAAACTCTTGGGAACCAGCAGAAGGTGTGACTATAGCTTGAAACTAAAAGGTGGAAAGAATATAGGGAAATGATAAGTGACTTCCCCTAGATTTGGAGTTTCTTTTCTTCTTCTTTTTTTAAATTTTGGTTTCCTTTTAATCATTGTGCATCTTTACAGCATGCAAAATGGTTTTTCTAAGCATGAATATTAATTCATGTCTGTATTGTATATTAATCCACTTAAAGATATTACCATATGCAATATCAACAAAAACTTTTCATTTTCATATATGTAAATGTTTTTTCCCCTGACTCCTTCCCTCTCTCCCACCACTTGCCATGCCCTCTTCTATGCTGTCTCTAGTGTTTACAGTTGCCCTCTCTGCTTTTATCGCTTCCAACCTTTCCATTTCGGCCATAGAGTGCAGATATTCAGAACATATTAAGCACAGATATACAATGCCTCTCTCATAGTCTGGCTTGCTTCATTTAACATTAACTTGTCTGTATTTTCAGTATGTGTTTTTGGCCCACAAAGGCTTCAGCCCTGAATAACATCTTACAGAAGTGCCTCAATGCCTTCCAAATCCATCTTCTCAGCTGGGGTTGATTGTACCCCTTCTCCAATTTATTCCTTATTTCTTTGCCATTTGGACCTTCTTTCTCTTCTGTGTCTACGTGGTCTACCTGTTGTTCTACTTACTGATTTTAAACTTACCTCCTTCAGAAATATTTCCATGATGTCAAGCTCATTTTCTAAGTGGGCAGGGAGGGGGGCCACACTAGCATGGCAGCTTGAAGTTCACACACCTACACTGGTCCCAAGGGGTCTGCATTTTCTCTTTCGGCTGCCTGTATATGGATGGCATTGCCTCCTGTCAGTATGAAAGTCCCAGATAGCATCTCCTGGGCCTTGCTGTGTTCATTGCATGACTCCCCAGAGCAAAATGAGACACCCTCATAGTCAGCCAACTAGCAGGCACCCTGAGGCAGGGATAAAGGAACATCCTGGTCTCTGGGGTCACCTGGGATGTGTCTTTTATTGATATGATGCACAACTCATTATATCAATGCCTTGGACCATCTCAATTTTAACACTGAATGTCCTACATACAGAGAAATCCTTAGTCCCAGAAAAAACAAGATGGTTAGCTGCCCTAATTGAGTACCTGCTGCTTGGTGCAGCAGGAGTACAGAGGGAAAGCAAATGGGGCTCTTTATGCTAGAATAATATAAGCCCAAGAGGCCTTTCTGAAAAACTGTGATCCCAGAGGCTTAGTATCCATCGTCTGCCTCCTCCATGGCCCCATTCTCTACGTATGTGTGTGTTGGGTAGGAGAAACTAGATCAACAGGCACGTAGATCAACAGGCATGTACCAGGCTAGCCCTGTATAAGCATGAACTGGCAGGCCCCAACTCAGAAAGGTGATATCCCCATCCCCGCTGCCATCATTAACTTCAAGACTCGTGGGCCTGTGAGCAGCAGGTCTGGACTCAGCTACTCCTGTTCTGATTTCTTTCCCATAGACAGCTGCTTCACATCTGGATATGGCTGGAAGAAGTAGAGGTAGGCAGTCTGGCACTTCACTTCAGGCTCTCCCATCTCCGCCCTGGTTCCCTAGCCAAACTCATAACCAATTTGCCCTCTATTAGAAGCAGCCAGGGACCTGTTTGTTTGGCCTTTTTTTCTCTCTTCTCAACAGTACCATCTACTGGCTATAGAGGCACTAGGCCTTCTAGGGGATAAGCCCAGGGCAGCCTGAGTCAGAGGGGCCTGGCAATGCTAGCTGCTGGTGAAGACAAGGGTGCAGAGATCCAATTCTATT